TGCTCCGCCGTATCGCCCACGGGATACATTCGACGCGTAACATCTCAAGAGCACATGAGCACACTGACTACAATCAACCCCATGGCGCCGAGGTTTGACGTCGCATGTTCGCCGGTCTGCCATGTGCGTCGCATGAGCGTAGCAAGACCGTGCCACACTTCGGGCGAACTCTCCTGCCCACGTCCAGATCCAGCAATAGCCCTCGCCCTTCAATTTCGCAAATGCAGCCGTTTTGACCTCTCCTTCGCTGCGAAGTCGCCCACTCGGGAAGGCAGCGTCTACGTGTCCTGAAACGCGACAATAAGGTTGTTACACGAGCCGTCAAGCCTTCTATTGGCCACTGGCGCTCAGCAGTCTGCGAAGGAGCTCTATCCTGCTGGCAAGCGGTCGCGCGATGCACAACAGAATATCGTCAGATCTCATTCCTCGCGCACGGCTCTGACGTGAGCGGGGCTTATAGCACGTAGAACATTCGACTTCGTGATCTGTTCCGCGTATTCTTGCACTTCTGTCTCTGGCGCATCGCGTTCCTTCCTTGTCCCCGCGCCCAGGCAGTGTCCATAAACGACATCATGTTCGCCCTATTGAGATTGTTCGCATCCGCTCTCCCCGCAGTCGGTGTCTATCTATTCACACGTCGTTTGCTCTGCCGCTTCTGATTTTTTGTAACCATTCCACAAGCCGTCTCGCCTCAACTTTTGCGCCCGTGCGGACGGAGGACCGGCGGAGCTGAGGGTCCCTCGGCACCGATTGGGCGTCGCATCAGCTCCCTTGTATCTGGAATACTTTTCTCCACCCCAAAGACGGCGTCGGGGACGCGCAATTATTCCAAGTGAGTACTACTGTTTCAGCGATCGGCGTATTTCCTCGAAGGAAAGAACTCAGGATATGGCGTTTACTGAACGCAGCAGCGCTTACCTGAGACAGCGCTTGTGCTTTGAGATATCCCGCCCTCGAGAAGACACGCAGTTTGAAGAGGACGGCGAGGACCTCGGACACCTCTGTGATAAGGGTGCGAGCTTCGGGCTCGTCAGGTTTGTCTGCAAGTGCGCATCGCATCGGAGATCCTGGCAGCTCAGTGAAGCGTTCTCGTGATGTCGTAGCATCTCATTCCGCCTTTCCAACTCCGGAACCGAACTGCGAGTCCCCCAGTGATGCAGAACTGGACGGGAAAGGTACGGACGCGGCACGCCAGGGATTGCTCCATTCCCTTAAGCTTCCCTTGCATGCGAGCGCTGCGCTGGGAAGTGCACCCGGTCTATCACCTGTGCTCACGCACGTCATTCATTCAGTCCCTGTCTACGACGTCATGCCGACTGCAAAACTGCCTTACGTGCAAACACCGGCAGACCTGCCATGCCCAGGGTGCTTCCTTTGCCTGTCGCGGTGGGCCGGCGGAGCAGATCCTCGTACCTTGCCCAGCGAACGACGCTCCAGTCAAGTCACCTCACAACATCTTATCAGTTCCTCCGAGGACACCCTTGCCACACTAGTGAGATCCGATCATCCAGATCTCGCTCCCTCGAACCGTGCAGTTGCCGTGGCCGCTCACTATACTCCCCGCGAGCCAGTCTACACTTTCACCCCTCGTTCGGCTTTGTCGGCAGCTTATTACCTCATCCTCAAACAAGTTATCCACTATTGAAATTGAATGCGGATTGGGGGGACTCTTCGCTTTATGGGATTAGCATGTTTCGCAGCGGCTGTTCGAGTTCTAGCTCTGAGATCATGTGCTGTCAATCGATCTTTCGCGAGTTTTGGAACGCTGTGAGCGCGTTCGAGACCGTGAAAGACCGTGCATCACGTGCAACAGACCGGCGGGCGCTGCACCCTAATCAATACTTCAGACACTATTTTTCTCGTACGCGCGGTCTCGCTGTAGGCAGACGTCACGGTAGCACCCTGTACCGGCTGTATGTCTAGCTGAACCGGTAATGACACTGCCGATGGCCTCACATGAGTTACGGAGATGCAACAAAAACGAGGGGAGTTCTTCTAACCAATGCCCTACGCCTCTAGAGAATAAATCTGCATGTGCATCCAGACGGTCAAGAACCCTCCCTTCATGACTTGCAATTGAAGTCTTCTTTCATTTCCAGATTGGCTGGGCTCTCGGGCATCTCGGGTGCTCTGGGGTGCAGAGCACCCGAAGAGAGTCGCGCAATCGCAGCTCGATTCGGAAATGCTGTTCGTACGGTGAAACTCTAATATTAATATTGGGGCAAACCGCAGCCTGTGCTCGACATCGACACGCTCACACAGAATTGTGGGGTGAAGTTCTCAGACATTTAGCTCAGCACAAACATCCTTCTTTTGCAGAGGCCATGTGAGACCAAACCAGTAGGTGCAGCTGTCAATAAAGCGGTGATACTCCGTACGGCAAGGTACCGTTTCGTCGAGTGCGCAGGCGTTCATCGATTTCATCGATATTTCCTTCCCCTCCCACGGATTGAACGGAGCTGTCAAATCGACGGCAGACCGTAGCGCTTCTCTGCATCCTAACGCATCCCAACGATATCATCCCCGACTCGGAGACGTCTTCAGGTTACGCTCTGCAAGTTACAGGGAACATCGTAGACGATCCTCAGGAGCCAATTGCTTGGAAACCTGATTGAAAGCGTCCGCAATGACGCGGATTGTCTTTATTACCAGTTACATGAAACTGAGGAGGCGTGGGAACACTGTGACTTAGACGCCATTGCTGGGCATGTCGGGACGTTCCGGCATGAGGCCCTACCAGAAAGCTACTGCCCCAGTCAGACGAGCATTCTCACTACTCCTGCTCAATCCGGCGACACTCATTATGCTACAATGTATGCGAGAGCGGCGGATACTTCGATTCAGGAGCTGTACAAGATCACGTCGCCGATGACGGAAAAATGATGCCCACTACCCTCTAGTACAACAACACCGCGTATATCCGGCCATCCCTTTTCATCTCGTGCGTCCAATTAAGCTGACATGTCGTGCGCGTGCAATGTCGGGATCATCGTGTTTGGATAGACAAATGCTCCCATGAGTAATAACTTGAAGACGCCGACGTGCAACGCGATCTAGAACCTTGATGACCGTACCCGCATGATCTACCCACTATTGCTCCTGTTCAGCGCTTCAGATCTTCGCCTTTGCGCGTCCCCAGCCTGAGCCGCAACGCCAACGACTCGGGTCCCGTTGCAGTGCGGTCGGGCGCAGAAGGCGGTCTAGTGGCGTAGCGTTGCTTTCTGCGCATCCGCGACGACCTGATTGTCCGCTTTTGACATCCGAAACTGTATGAACAAGATGACAGGTGCTTGACGCCAGTGACTTGACGCGGGGCAGAAGTCGTCCATCCCGTCAATGCGGTCATTGAAAACGCTTGCAGCCCCCGAGGTCCAAAAAGTTCAACAAGGGCAATCTATTGTAGAAGAGGCATTGGTCGGCATAAAACATTACGGAACAAAGGAGATAAAGTCCAGGGGTCGAGGGAGGACCGTAGAATACAATGGATCATCACACCGTACACCGCACTGCGCCACGACGCGTTTACGCAATTTCTTTGTTGTGTACACCGAAAGAATGCTGCGGGTCGGAGTATGGGTAGGTCGTGGGCGGGTGCAACAACGACTGGCTCTGCTGCTGGAGCGGCTGGTGGGGGTAGTACGACTGGGGCGGCGCAGTACCCTTCCAGTTGTTGTCGACGGCGCGGAACGCCTGCTCATCGCTGAGCTGACCGACATAGCTGGACACTATGTACGCGCAGTCTACAAGCGAAGTGACAGTCAGCACGAGTGCAAGAAGGGCGAGTGGGTGCGCGGGACGTACAGAGCTGAATGAGCAGGTCTATTACGAACGTAACGATGTACGCCCACTTGCTCCCCTTGACAAGGTCTGTGCACGCCTGTTGTATGTTCACGTCGGGAACGTTGACGTTCACATTGTCGGGGACAGGAATGCCGTCGACGAGCTTCTGGGCTTCCTTATGGCACAACTCTGCGATAGAGTCGCCTCCGTCGCGGAAGAGAATCACGAGGAAGTAGACCGCGGCCGCGGTCTCCAGCGCAATGAGGATGTAGAGCACTGTCGAATAGAACGCAACAAGAGGGCGACTGCGAGTCATTGCGCCAATCAATCTGCGTCTAGTTCAGCAACTCCATCGGCACTTGATTTCGGGCATTGCATACCCAAGACACGCTGCGAGCACTAAGAGAGAAAAGATTGCGCCGGCCACAATGAAAGCGATGCGAGCAGAGCCATGGAGCTCGTCCGGCTGAAGCTCTATAGTTCGATAAGGGCGCGACCTTCGCAAGACGGAGAGTGGGACGCACTGACGAACGCGTACCATATCAGAGCGGCTGAAGCACCACCTACGAAAGATGTAGTCAGCGACCGGAGAGAGCGAAAAAACGGAGCACGCACCTGATAGCAGTTGCAAGAACGACAGAATAAAAACGCCCAAACGAACGGGCAGACAGCAACAGAATGTACGCGACATGGTGGACGAGCGGGAAGGAAAGAACGAAAGACCGGGATTTCAGTGGGCGCGCGTTTTTAACCTGGGCGCTGCGGTAACCGACGGCTGTGCCGGCGGTGCGGTGTCGGTCTTCCGACCACGACATCGCCCTCACGGCAATGCCGCGCCGCAGCAACCAAGCGGCTCACAGCATGCAAGTGCTCAACATCCCAGGGACATGGACTTGAACTCAACCCCTGACGGTTCTTGTGAACCTCACTTGTCTGTGTTCGTGAGACTCGCGCATTTGTACGGCTGCAAAAGCTGCAACTGTCCATCAACTTGCGCGCGAGAATGCAGTGCCGATCGACCATGGTTGGGCACAGCAATCTGCGGGAAAAGGTCCGCAAGAATACGCAGCATTTCAAGTGAATGCGCTCACTGCGGAAACCCAATTCTAAACGCACTACACGGGAGGAGAGGAAACCGCCGAACTCCGGAAGCAAGTGAGCATTTCGCAACGAGTACAAGGCGAATAGCCTATAACTGGTCAAGACCATCTTTCTCGCACGGCTGTATAGTGTAGTGGTTATCACAGTGGATTCTGATCACGTGTCGTCACGTGGGTCCGTTCCATTAACCCCTGTTCGAATCAGGGTACGGTCATTCTTTTGCATGCCTTCGGTCTCATCTCTCGAACTTATCCTATGGCCCTCCTGCAGCCCGTACCGTGACATGTACCTCCTTTGCTATGCGATGCTCATAGTACAGCGGCATGTCGGCAATGGGCGGCACCATTGCAAGACCCTGAGAGGCTTTGTCGTACGTACTACTACTACTACTAAGTACTCAGTACTACTACTACAGGAAGGCACATTCTGCATAAGTCATGAAGAGATTTGAACTGGCTTTGAGTCCTGACGTGTACTGCACCATTACTTCTAGTTCACATTGTTCTCCTTACTTATTGGCGGAGTGTCTGGGGGATGTTCATGCCGAGAAGTTGAACGACTCTTCAATCTCATCATTAATGCAGGACACTGGATAATTATTCAGGCCAGGCTAGGTATTCTCCAGATCCGTTTTATTTTCGGCACCGACCTCCATCGAGAAACCTCACGACATGCCGAAAGGTGACAGCATCTCTGGAGTAGAGACTTCGGCACCTGGCGCAGCCCGAGTACATGGCGGAATGTACGACAGAATACGACAGCCTTGTGGAACCGTGCTTCGACGCCCAGCTCAAGCCACTGCACTCTTATTAAAGCCCAAGAAGGAGTTCATCCCCCTGGAAGCAAAAAGGACGCCGGCATGCCGCCTCTCGCGAAGGCTGAGCACTTGTTGCGTCCTAATGCAGATCATCCAATAACGGGCAGCCGCTCGCGTGTCTTCGACGTCTGCTGTCGCGGACAGTATGACAGGACCCTTCGTCTTCTTTGTCGCCACATCCTCGGTCTACAGCATCCCACGCGATGAAGAATGTCGCGCAGTGGTTGGCTCATCGTGCACGTCTATCCGTTCGATATCATACCGCTCGAGTTCCGGCGGTGCAAAACACGCGTCGAACACGTGTGTATCGTCCTGCTTCGTTCCGCCGCCTGAACACAGTAATCTCGATATCCCACGACGCAGCACTTGGTCTGGGATGAACAGCATAACCGACGAAGAGTACCTGGGCTCCGCCGGAAATTGCAGTTCCCACGATGCGTCCATCTTCCGCTTATGGTAGCATGTACCGCCAGACCCACATCGCGTCTTCCTCCTCCCCGCCTGGAAAGGTCATATACCGGGCATCAGCCGGGAATCAACAGCTCATCATCTAATCGCGACCGAAGAGACTCAGGTCGGGAGCTTCATGTACCTAGCTGGCTGCAATTCCAGCCGTCAAAACACCGTAATGAGTAGGCAACTCCAGCCGCTCCTCGAGCGTTTGACGACGTCCTCTGCGGCCATAGTGCGAGTCTTCGCAGCGTAAGCTTGGAGCTGTGCAACGTTTGCCCACAGGTGCCGTAGAGCCTAAACAACCATCGCGGCGATAGTTGCAGCTTGTCATCAGATGAAACCGGATCCTGCGGTTCGAGAGCGGAATGCCGTGCGTGGCTCTCACGCGCGTGGATCGTGGACGCCACGAATATTGCAGTGAGAGCCCAACACGAGATAGAAGTTGTTCCTTCTCTCAGATCAGGTCCTGCATCCCGCGACGCGGCGTCCGCCCAAACCGAGAAGCCGACGGTGCGCGAGCTGGTTCGCCAGCTGGCCCGAGGAAGCCTGATGGTAAACGGAGAAGCACCACTGCAGCGCGCCGTCTCCCCGCGCAGCTCCACGGCAGTCACAGCCATACGAAGACACCAACAGTATATTGTACCCTGACTTCGGACTCAGAACGTCTGTTTCGGTCTCTCGCTTTCAAATGCAATGTTTGCAGCCTGCCCTGAGCGTTGAGCGGGATCCTTTTACGTGACAGACAGCTTCGGTATCGACATCGTCAAGGGTCCCCAAGCAACAACGGGAGAACCGGAGCGTCCGCTGGCGCCAGAGGCTGGGGAGAATCGCGCCGGTCATCCTGTCTCTGTCACATCCCGCGAAGTCGAAGCGCATGAAGAGTATCATTTGCCTTTCCGTGCCGGAGAAGGAGCGAGGACGTGCTTCCTGCTGCCGTAAGGGACCGACGACGTCGACGCCATGCTCCTCAGGCCTCATCCGCGGACCGGTATTCAGAAGCGCACGTAGACCCGTTCTATGTTAAGCATGATAAGGGTAGATACAGCGACGAAAGCACGAGGGGTGCAGCCAGTGCTCCATTGTAGGCCGGAGCAAATACGCGGGTGATAGTTTAGTGCAGCAAGAAAGTGCGAGCGCGAGGACAGCGAATCAATAGCGAGGATCAGCGTGCGGGATGACGTGGTAGTTGACGGTGATGGTGGTACAAGATCGCGACATGGAAAAGTCACAGCGTACAACAACGACGCCGAAGATGATGATAATGGTGATGGCGAAATTTCTGAGCGGGAACGTTTAGTTGTCGCCGTCCTCGCCGACGTGGCAGCCGCGCTGGGCGTGCCTCCTGAGCGCGTCAGGCCGGCTGAAGGGACGGCCGCAGCGGTTGCAGGTCGGGCCCTCGGCGTCGTTACGGAAATGAACGCTCGCGCGGTGTCGCTTGAGATCGTGGGGGCGCGAGAAGCCAGCTTTGCAGAAGTCGCAAGCAAACGGACGCGCAGGGGTCGGTGTACCGCCTACCGGGGAAGCCGGCGGCGATGGCGATGCGTACTGCTGGTGGGGCACGGGCGACGCGTAGCGCACGGGCATGGACGGGGGAGCCGGGGAAGCTGGAAGGGGCGGGTACGCGGCGTAAGACAGCGACTGCTGCTGTTGTTGCACGTGGTGCGCGACCGGGAGAGCGTAGCCCTGGTGCTGCTGGGTGTAGGCATACTGCTGCTGCTCCAAGAGCTGCTGCTGCTGCTGAGCGGTGTAGGGGTTCCCGGGCTGGTTGAGCAGTTGGCTGAGGCTCGGGAGCGACTGCTGATAATGGGCTGGAAATCCGGCTGTCAATCGAGGGCTTACACCACACGGTCACGGGACACGTACGCGTCTGCTGGTGGTGCTGCTGCTGGTAGACGGCATGGGCCTGGAGAGCAGAGGGGACCTGGGTTGGGCCGAGGTAGGTGGAGAGCGAGGGAAGCGTTGGCCGCTGCTGGCCGTCGTGCTGCTGGCTATACTGGTCACGATGCGAGTACATGGCGGACACGGTGGGTGGTGAAGTGGGGGGATCGACTCGCCATGGTCGCGAATTTAAAGAGAAGAGGTCAGAGAGACGCGCCCCTGGCAGTCCAACAAGATTTGAATGGTAAAACAGAACGCCAGAAGAGGCAAGGGGAAATAATTGTTGAAAGCGGAGACTCGCAACGGCACCTATTCCCAATTGGGACGTTGGCAGGTTCGGCTGTCCTGTCCGCCGGACCCCAATCACCCTGACAGACATCCCCGCTCCCTTCGTTTTCAGCTCATAGGAATGCAATCAAACAACGCCACCCTGGAGCGAACAACAAATTGTGCATCCGCCGAATCTGCCAGGACGGCACCAGCGACGGGACTTGGCAGTATCCGCCAGCACACATGCAATCTCGCTGCCCCGATGCTCCCGACCCTCGGTACCGCAACCCACCGACGCAACAGAGCAATGTCGGCAGTCTGGGGCCCCAGCCCAGAAGGTTCTCTGTCGCTCATCGGTCGCGAAAAACATTTCGGCTGCCCAATCCTCTCTAATGCATCAAACGAGACCAACCAAACTGAGTACCTTAGCGCGCCGCGCTAGGATGGATGATCGTCAAAACCAGCGTCACTCCAGACGCTCGAAAGGTGACACGCGGCCGGAGCACTCAAGACCATGATACCCGCTCAGTCGTCGATCCCTGTTGTGAGTCCTTGACCGGCCTTTCCGCGCAGAAGCACAGACGCCGAACGAGATCATCGCACAGCGGATCATATCTCTACTCACATCGCCAAAGCACTGACCCGCTCCCGTGTGCCCGAGCTGTCGCATCAACTTCCGTACGGACTTGCGCTGCTGAAGGTGAAACTGCGATGGGCATCTCGGACGTGTACCCCGCATCGGCGTCGTCTCGCACAGGCTCGTTACCACGTAACTGCGGGCTCGTCCCGCCCTCAACGGCGTCATATTCCCACAATCCACTGTGCTCTGTCCGAGTTCCGAGGCGCCGGTCCGGAAAAGGCATGATTGACCCCCTTTCGGCGAGCAGAAACTCGCGTTTCACACATGCGAATCCATATGGATCTCGGGGTAGCGTGTGCTCGTCCAACTCTCGCACCGTTCGCCAATACACGGTGTCGTGAATCGATCTTCTCAGCAGGCGGGGTAACTTTCCTCGGTGTACGGGATCGCTGCGATCGATCGACCCGTGCATTCGTTCCGCTTCACTACAACCGGTGGCTGGAAACGTGGGGTGGCGTGCCACCTTCCTCTCACAATTTACGTACGTAGTAAACTAAACTCCAACCTTCCTTCTACGGCCAGATCTCTGTGCTGCCTCGCTGTGCGACTGCAAGAGAACGCGAGGATTCACCAACACGCTCCGAGGGAGCCTGGGGCCAAAGTTTACCAAACCGTCCGATCCCCATTCGTTGCTCAAACGCTGCGGCATGGGTCACCTGCCAGGAATCTCAGGCTGCTCCCTGGGATCCTCCCATGGTTCCTGTGAGATGAGCGTCGACGTCGAACCCTTGCTAATAAGCGCTGATGATACGCTGGCAAACAGTCAACTGTGCCTCCTCAGTGCCCAACCAGTCAGCGCATACAGTTCCGAAGAATCATGGGACCGAGGACGTCCTCAATGCAGCGCTCTTCGACAGGGATCTTTCATTGAGACTCTAGATTCACGACGATACGCGCGGACAGGCCGCAGCCTGAGAAGCGAGTACCCTCTCTCGAACGAGTCCTCATTCGCGCATCCGCTTGCGGTCATCCTGAGCGGGCATGTCTCCCACAGGCTTTATCGCCACTGCGATTACGTGGCTGTGCGACAGGACGCCGGTGTGGCTGCGACAACAGCCTGAACAAGCGGCTGTCCGTGCAACACGAGTCCTGAGATTCCCAGTCATACCGTACAGGTGCTTCGCTGCAAACCTTACTTCATCTCTTGATGAAGTAC